AAAGTTTCACGCATTCGTTACTAAAATAGTCACAGTCATTGTAAAAATCTATTTATTTGTTCTTTTTAACTATCCCTTCTACTTTTAATCATGAATGGTTATTTTTATTCATTAATGAAATATTATTCAGTTCGGTAGCTGAACGTTTCCCAGAACTAATAATATGTTCCAGTAAGGAATACCGCAATTTCAATTTGTTGTTAATATATAAGCTTCACCCCCTGGTCACTTTCACGAGAATGTATTGAGACAGATACTCTCCAGTTATACATGTATATTGTAAATCCAAGGATCTAAGTGCATCTAAACACAGCTGAAGTATCTGCAGTAGTCCTTTATCTGTAAGTTGATAACATCAGTTTATCTTCAGGTTCTCTAAACAAGGCAGGGTTCCCTTGTATTCAGACAGATTCTCTGCAGTTATATTTGTGTACTGTATATCCAGGGATCTGAGTTTACTTCCACAAAGCTGTAGTATCTGCAGCAGTCCTTTGTTTGTAAGTTGTTTACAGGAACTCATGTTCAGGTTCTCTAAACAAGGCAGGGCTCCCTTGTATTCAGACAGATTCTCTCCAGTTATATTTGTACTTGATATATCCAGGGATCTAAGTGTACTTCCACAAAGCTGTAGTATCTGCTGCAGTCCTTTGTTTGTGAGTTGATAACAGCTGCTCATGTCCAATGTATTTAAACAAGGCAGGGCTCCCTTGTATTCAGACAAATTTTCTCCTGTTACATTTGTTTTCCATATAACCAGGGATTTAAGTGTACTTCCACAAAGCTGAAGTATCTGCAGTAGTCCTTTGTTTGTAAGCTGTCTACAGGCATACATGTTTAGGTTCTCTATACAAGGCAGGGTTCCCTTGTATTCAGACAGATTTTCTCCAGTTATATGTGTATACCCTATACAGGAACCCTCACCTTTCTCTGCCAGGAACTCCAACCTTTCTAAATCTAATTTTTGTAAAACTTTTCAAGTTAAATTTTTTGATTAAAGACTGATTGTACGGGAGACCGACTGAAAACAGTTTCGGCTAGTTCCGTCTCCCTGCCATAAACTGTAATTTCAACTAATGTTAATTATAAATATCCATTTTTACATGTATAGTTTGTGGCTAAATATATAATTTGATTTGATTTGATTTGATATCTAGTATTCTAAGTGTACTTCCACAAAGCTGAAGTATCTGCTGCAGTCCTTTGTTTGTAAGTTGTTCACAGCCACTCATGTTCAGGTTCTCTAAACAAGGCAGGGTTCCCTTGTATTTAATCAATATTTCACCAGTAATAATCGAATTCTTTAAGGTCAGAGATTTAAGAGTACTCCCACACTGTTCCAATATTTGTAGAAACCAGTTATTATTAAGACCCTCATTCATAGTTCTATTACAATTCAGCTGTAGAGTTTGGAGTTGTTTTGAAACTATGTTCACATTTATTCCAGAAATAAATTCAATCCATCTTCCAATAATCAAGGAAGACAAGGAAGGTAGAGACAAAATTCCATTCAATCCAGTTGAAGTCAATTTACTATTTTGCCAGGTATTTTCTTTTCCAAGTTGAAACATGAGAATTTCAGGATGTTTCTTCACAAGATACTCAACACCATCATCTCTAGCATCTACTGCTTCAAATCCTGGAAATGTAAAAGAGTAAGTAATTTATTTAGAAAACATTACAAAACAAATACAAAATTAGATGTTTTAGAAGGAGATATTTATAAACTTGAAATTGATATAATTGAAATAAGAATTGCAGATTTTTAAAAATATTAAATCTAGGGTTAGTACACTCATCAGAGGGAGAAGAGAAGTAATCATCTTTCCATTATCTCTGCTTTGTTCAGGTTTACACCTACTAGCTATCCCCTCTTCTTTATCCATGGTTATCCTGAAGTAATAACATATTTATTTATTTATAAGAAAGAGCACTTTTCTTTTCTGCGCCCATTTTATAAAAAAATATGACTTATGTTTTAACGGTATGCATTGACAAAATGTTGTAAGAAATGTTTTGTTTCTTAATTCCTTGTAAATCTATATATAAATTTGGCTTGTCTGTCTGTCTGTTTGTCTGTCTGTTTGTATCCAATAAACGTCAAAACGGCTGAACCGATCGGGCCCAAATTTTTTGTGGGACATCACGTGACCACAGGGAAGGTTTATGAATGATCGAAATTTCAAATATTTGTCTCCATCAAAATTCGATCTTCATTAAATTTTTGAAAATTTTGAAAATCCACGAAATTTTTTGTGAAAATCCGCGAATTATTTTTGTTTTGTTTTACTATGTACACAAAGAGAACATGTTCACAATTAATTTAGAAGATGGGCGCGAAGCGCCCTCTAAGGCTAGTTATATTATATTTTAAGAAAGTGTGTATTATTTATCTTTTTCTAGTATAATTTAAAATAACTAATATTTCAATTAAACCAAAGAAAAATTAAAATTAAAATCATTTTGAATATAAATGAAAGGAAAATGTTAGAATAAAGAAATGTTTTTAAGAACAAAATACTTATGTTTGTTTCTAAAAAATAAATTTTAATTAATTTTGAATTTTCAGTCAAGGAGTAAACTATTTTATCAAAAAGTTTCCATTTTTTTAGTTTAACAGCATTGCTTTAAAACATATAAAAACAATATTACTATCTCATTAGCAGAACCGACATCTGCTTCATACATTTTATCCAAGTTTAACAAATAAAGAAAATACTTTAAATCTTATTAAAACAATATAACTATCTCATTGGCAGAACCAACACCTGCTTCCAACATTTTATCCAAGTTTAACAAATAAAGAAAATACTTTAAAATAAAAATACCTGATCAAGGAAATGGTATTATGCTGTACACAATTTTATTATTTAAACAGTTGAACCATTTATCTCTGAAATTGAAAATAATTTAGTTAAGAACAATATTGAAAAAGCATTTAATTGAAATATTTAATGTGCCTAATATTAAAACATGTTCAATATAAAGGTTAAAACTGCAGGAAACAAAAGTAATATGTAAACTGTTGGTTTTCAGAAAAAATCTTAATATCAACTTAAAACAAACTTATTTCACATCCAACAATTTTAACACATTTAAAATTGGGTATTTTTAAATTTGTAGTTTTTATAGATAAAATAAGAAATGGAATGTTTTAAAATAATTCCAGGCATATATTTTAATGAAATTTTAAAAATGTTTCTTTTTTGATTTGGAAAAAATAAATATTTTTTAATGAAAATTAAATCATTTTTAGGGGAAATTAGATAAATTTAAGATAAAAATATCAGAGATGGAGATGAAGAACTTGCCAGTTGCTGTAGAAAATTTACCACATGAAATCTTTCAAAATATATACCCCTTGATGCATAAAGAGACTGTATCTACCCCTTGATGCATAAAGAGACTGTAAATACCCCTTGATGCATAAAGGGACTGTATATACCCCTTGATGCATAAAGGGACTGTATATACCCATTGATGCATAAAGGGACTGTATGTACCCCTTGATGCATAAAGGGACTGTATATACCCCTTGATGCATAAAGGGACTGTATATACCCCTTGATGCATAAAGGGACTGTATATACCCCTTGATGCATAAAGGGACTGTATATACCCCTTGATGCATAAAGGGACTGTATATACCCCTTGATGCATAAAGGGACTGTATATACCCCTTGATTTATAAACGGACTGTATGTACCTCTTGATGCATAAAGGGACTGTCTGTACCCCTTGATGCATAAAAAGACTGTATATACCCCTTTATGCATAAAGGGACTGTATATACCCCTTGATGCATAAAGGGACTGTATATACCCCTTGATGCATAAAGGGACTGTATATACCCATTGATGCATAAAGGGACTGTATAATTCCCTTGATGCATAAAAGGACTGTATATACCCCTTTAAAGTTGAGTTTTAGTTTGCTTAAAGATCGTAGGTTTGAAAAAAAATTACTGTGGGACATATTTTTTTTAATTTTCGAGAAAATTAGCTATTAGGAGGGGGGGGGTCGCCTCGCCCCCATGCTCCCCCTAGTTGCACGCCTGGACATGCACAGAGTATGTAATTCACATTTTTCTACAGAACTGTTGCAGAGTATGTTACACTATACAGGGTTACCCACAAAGGATGATACTTCAGAGATGAATTAGAGAACTTACACCATGTATGTTTCCTTATATTTATGAATCCTGGCAAATATCATATTTAAGGCAGAAGACTTGATTCAATCTTGAAGTAGTCATATTTAAAGAGTTTAGGGTCGTCTTTACAGTCTCATCCTTTGTATGTAATCCCTGTGTTTATGTAATTTGTAATTAAAATGATTAAAGTCAGTCTAAACTGTCATTTCGTTTAAATCAATGCTTGGTCCTTGACAAAGGTAAGTGCACCAAATGATGCAATTTATGCACCAGTTGGAAATAATCGCCAAGAAAGTTCTCTGAACAAAGTTGTCGGTTTCACACCAAAATGTCCTCGAAAATTAAGTCCTGTTATTGTTAAAAATGCACGTACTAACATGGAAAAAGTCCATGTTTAAAAAAATGTAATATTTTCGGGAAAAAAATTCCAGGAATCCAAAAACCCAGGACTTTATTTCCAGCTTCATTTTGTCTTAGGACATCGGGAAATTGACACTTTTTTATCAAAGTTTTATATTTTTAGGTTTTTTTCCCAGAAATTTTTTTCCCGCGTCTTTGCATAGATTTTATTTTTTACACAGTACTGCACAACATATGTATTTTTATTGCATTGTACATAGTATGTATTTTACTGTGCAGTGTGCATAGTTCTTATTTCACCGTTCTGTGTACAAAGGATATTAGAATACATATCATTATATGGGAGTCATAATTTTTTTTGATAATATTCTTAAGCCCTTAAATATCCAGGACAGCATTTGATTTATTAAACTCGCTTTTCTGTGGCAATTGCCATTATATAGATTGAGAATACAACATTATAAAAACTCTTGCTATGTTTTTATATATCTGGGATTCACAAGCACTACAGGGTTATCTAGTGCTTGTATGTATACTATGCATAAATGAGGCACCATTTTACTTTGTGGTCAGGTGTGCAAATGCCTAAGCTGTCCAGAATATGGCATGTTCAGTTGAAATGATTTTGATCATCAAATTGTCCAGTAGGAATGGTTTTGATCCGTAGGTTGTTGAGATGAAATGATTTTGATCAGAAGGGTTTCCAGTTTATATGCGTTTGATCAGAAGGGTTTCCAGTTTATATGCGTTTGATCAGAAGGGTTTCCAGTTTATATGCGTTTGATCAGAAGGTTGTCTAGATAAAATGATCTTGATCAGATATTGTGATCAACAAGTTGTCCACTGGGAATGATTTTGATAAGTAAGTTGTTTAGATGAAATGATCTTGATCATCAAGTTGTCTAGATGAAATTATCTTGATCAGCAAGTTGTCTACATGAAATGATCTTGATCATCAAGTTGTCTAGATGAAATTATCTTGATCAGCAAGTTGTTTACATGAAATGATCTCGATCATCAAGTTGTCCAGATAAAATGATCTCGATCATCAAGTTGTCTAGATGAAATTATCTTGATCAGCAAGTTGTATACATGAAATGATCTTGATCATCAAGTTGTCTAGATGAAATTATCTTGATCATCAAGTTGTCTAGATGAAATTATCTTGATCAGCAAGTTGTCTAGATGAAATTATCTTGATCAGCAAGATGGCCAGATGAAATGATCTCGATCAACAAGTTGTCTACATGAAATGATCTTGATCATCAAGTTGTCTAGATGAAATTATCTTGATCAGCAAGTTGTCTACATGAAATGATCTTGATCATCAAGTTGTCTACATGAAATTATCTTGATCAGCAAGTTGTCTAGATGAAATTATCTTGATCAACAAGTTGTCTACATAAAATGATCTCGATCAGCAAGTTGTCTAGATGAAATTATCTTGATCAGCAAGTTGTCTAGATGAAATTATCTTGATCAACAAGTTGTCCAGATGAAATGATCTCGATCAGCAAGTTGTCTTGATGAAATGATCTTGATCATCAAGTTGTCTAGATGAAATTATCTTGATCAGCAAGTTGTCTACATGAAATGATCCTGATCAGCAAGTTGTCTAGATGAAATTATCTTGATCAGCAAGTTGTCCAGATGAAATGATCTTGATCAGCAAGGTGTCTAGATGAAATGATCTTGATCAGCAAGTTGTCCAGTCCAAATGATCTTTTGGTCTACAATTCTCTGGACAAGTTTGTGATATCTGCATATCACCAATAGATCCAACAAAGTTTCCAGTCTCTGAAATATCAGTAAATGTGAATTTTAAATTTTATTGTTTTTAACTTTAAGTGTTAATGAACCCAATGAATGAAACTAATATTGATTTATTTAAGGAATTCGTCAATTTTTGCATTTGTTTGTATATTCATTAATTCAATTATTTATTTATTCATTTACTTATTTATTCATTTACTCATTTATTCATTCATTCATTTATTCATTTATTCATTTATTCATTTATTCATTTATTCAGTTATTCATTTATTCATTTATTCATTTATTCATTTATTCACTTATTGATTTCTTCATTTGTTCATTCATTTATTTATTTACTTATTCATTGATTAATTTATTAGTTTGTTTAGTAGCAACGATTAAAGAATCAGCAACCCTCTAGCAACGAGGTGATGCACTTGATGAGGAACCCGATGCTTATTTCGAACTTCTCTTTAAGGGTTCCGATGAACTAGGATGGAAGGAGAATGCTGAAGAGAGAATCAAACCCGTTTCTTCATCTCTCTGGCTCTCTGGAGAGGTATTGGAGAGGTTGGAGTCAACAGAGCCGGAATCACTGGAGCTAGAGTCAAAAGAGCCAGAGCTGAGGGAGGTCTTCTGCATCTGGGGGGTTGCTGAGAAATTACAGGTTTATCAGAGAAAACAGACTTGGAACTTATTTGAATTATGAAATACTTTGGATTCTGGGAGAGAACTAGGTAGGATCCTCTGTACACCGGAGAAAGTGGTGGTTTAGATGAATCTTCCCTGATGAAAACATGTAAGCAGGAGGTTATACTGGAAGGAATCTGGTCCAGTTTCAATACTGGAACTGCAGAATGATGAGGAAGAACTGTGGTGTTATTCTTCAGGATTGACTGGATTCTTCTTAGATACTCTGAAGAGGGCAGGTCTTGAGTATCCAGAAAATATCTGGGCAGAACCAGCAAAGAACCAAATAGAGCTTCACAAGCGGAGATAGCAGAACCCTCTCTGGAAACACTCCGGAGACCAAGTAACGCCAGGGGTAGATGATTGAACCAGCCTGTTCCAGACAATCAAGCTCTCAGAGACACTTTGAGACAATGGTGGAACCTCTCCACCAAGCCATTGGACTGTGGATGGAAAGGTGTGGTTGGAGAGTTTATGATTCCTAGGAACCTGCAGAGATTAATCAAGATTGAGCTAGTAAACTGGGCTCTATGATGGGAGGTGATCACAGATGGAACTCCAAAGGTTGGGATCCAGGATCGGAGTAAAACCGTGGCACATTCTTCTGCTGTTGTAGACTGAAGAGGAATTGCTTCTGGGCATTCCTTTATTATTTTTTCATTTATTCTTGTATTCTTTTATCCTCTGATTGGCTTACAAATAATAATGAAATCAAATAAACTTTAGACTTTCGAAAATAGCGAGCCAAGTAATGTGCAGTACCGTCAAGTGTATGACAACATCGAGACAAGACCAGCCAGTCGCCTGTTGCAAAAATGTTTGGATTTTCAACTTCAGCGGCTGAGGCGGCCCACTTGCACTGCTTGGCGCCTCACCAAATTTTAATACAAGCTAGCCATGGGAATGGAGTGGGTACCCTCCAAGATTTAGCAGGAAAAACTTACCATTAAAAAAGGTTTTTTAATATATTACAATTTTAAACATTCTAGCTGAAATGCCCGACATGACCCATAAAATTTTATAAATACTTTTAAAAAAGTTGGAATTAAAAAAAAAAAATTATTTTTAAAAACAATGATCATAATTTTTTAAAATAAATTTTGGTCCAGTCATTTGGCCAGCTATAGCTAACATATATACAAATAAACAAATATGTATTTTCAACATTAATAATTTTTTTATTTAAGTTTTACATTATTTTTAAAATATTCATATGAAATCAGATGAAAATCTTTTTACATTTTTATGTTTCTTGTTCTTCATTTTCTTCTTGTTCGTATATCTTTAAATCATATTTAAGCTTTTTGAAATTTTTTTTTTTTGAATATCCTTGCAGTATGCCACTCTACAAGAAAGTGCAATTTTTAGAGGATCTTGCTTTTTTTCTGAATTCTATATTTAATTGAGCTTATCTGGTTTGATATAATTTTTTCTGGACTCTGTATCGTTCTCATATGTGCTATATTACTCAGCAACTCATTTTCTAGAACATTTTACTTCTGGTTAAATAAATAGAGGGGGAGGATGCTTCTAGCCCCTTCTCTAATGTTGTCTCCATTTGCCATCTAAAAAATTGACAGTGCAAAGCTTGACATCAAAGATTCTCGACCATTTTCTTTCCTGTTCAATTTTCTTTTTTCTTCTTGTTTATTGTTTCTATGCTTTGAGGCCTCTCTAAATAGTTCTTTTGACATCGAGTTGTGGAGCAGCTAGGAGAGAGATAAGAAGGCTTGTAGGAGGAAGGGTATAAGGGATTGCTCTCTGTTTTCCTTAATGTTATAGTTTTTCCGAATAAGTGGAATTTTCAGGAAACTCATAACTACATTCCTTATGCAAAATGGGCAGTTGTAAATATATCTATATATATATAAGCAAAGAGAATTATTACAAGGATTTATATATTTGCGGGAAGAATATTCATTAAGCGGTTGTTGACAAAAAATGTTGTTACCATTCTTTCTCTGTGTGGGCCAAGGTCTATTGTTAGGGGCAGGATAGGAACTGCAGAGATAGGAATCATGTACACAAGCTTCATTCTTTACAACAGGCCATACATACTATACAACCATTACAAATAAAAACAATTTTTCAAATAATTCACTTGGTAGTTTCAGTTCAAGTTGTTATGAAATAAGAAGACATTTTTAGAAAATGTTTTGTTGCAAATTAATTGTTTTGTGCTTTAAATAGTTAAAGGCTTTCATTTAGATTTTTTTTGGGGGGGGGGTAAAATCATGGTTAAGGATTTTTTTCCCATTATTTCATTAAAGCAAAATAATGATATAAAAGTTGTAAAAATAACAATTTACTATATTTTATATGTTTTTAAATTTATATATTTTAATTTATTTTAAATTTTTTATGTGTTTCTATGAGTTCCTGAGTAAGAAGAGTTTGGTCATATCCCTTTTGCCAGCTGACTGACATCTGTAATATTTATTATTGTAATATAATTATAATTATAACGAATTTTTAAAAACTAGTTTGCTATAATTTTTCAGAAAATGTCTAATCGTTTGTGTGCTTGGTTGAATACTGACCTATTTACAAACATCCCTTTTCCCGAAGATCTATTGAAAAGCATTAAAAAGTTTTGAATTTCTAACATACAACCCTTTAAATTTGCGTATCTCATACTTTGACGTAATTCAAAACTAGAGGAGCTATAAGGTCGCAAACATTTAATTTAGCATACAATTGACCGTTTCCTGAGACTAGATTAGAGGGAAAATGTGGATAACCTTGCATTTTTTTTATCACGTTCAAAGTCCAATCTTTACAATCATTGAAAATTTTAAGAATTTGAACAAAATTAAATATTCATAGAATTTATCATTGTAAAAGTTAAATTTTTACTATCCCCTGATTTGGCTCTATTGTATTAAAAACACATAAATAAATGAAAGCACTATAAACTTTGGTTCATTTCAAGAACCGGGCCGACCTTCAAGCAAGTAGTACAGTACACATACAGTCTAGGTAAGGCAAAGCGGGACGGTACAACAAATGAATCAGTGTAGCAAAAAGCGTGAAGACATGATTTTGTAAACTTGCAGTACGTTGTACATTATAAATGATTTAATTATTGAACTTAGACATAATGATATTATTCATTGAAGCTGCGTTTCAATTGAATACTTAATATGCTTAGCTTAAATCATGCAACATACTTAAATTACGCTATAAAATATGGGCAGGGATAGATTTACTGCGCTATATCCAATCTCTTTAATCCATTTAAATATCTACCTTAAACTTTAACTGTGCGAAAATTGCCAAATACGATGGTCTTAATAAAGTGATATCAATAACATTGTAGGAATGGAATTACGACCATTCCTATTAACCTTGTAACCTAAGATTTGAATAAATTTAGTTGATTGAGACTCGGCTTTTGATTACATTATCAGAAGCATAGTAACCTTGCAGCAAAGCTTTGGTTCTTGTTGAAACATACGAGGGTAGATCTTGCCTTGCCAATTGGCAATGGGATCAAATATAGTTTGAAAGATGGTTTGGGACCTCATTGAATTATAAGAGTATAGATCTTGAATTGATAATTGGTAATCGGATAAAATATAGATTGAAAGATGGCTTGGGACCTCATTGAATTATAAGAGTATAGATCTTGAATTGATAATCGGTAATCGGATTGAATATAGCTTGAAAGATGGCTTGGGACTTCATTGAATTATCAGATTATAGATATTGCCTTGATAATTGGCAATGGGATCAAATATAGTTTGAAAGATAGCTTGGGACCTCATTGAATTATCAGATTATAGATATTGCCTTGACAATTGGCAATGGGATAAAATATAGATTGAAAGATGGCTTGGGACCTCATTGAATTATCAGATTATAGATATTG